GTTTCTGCAAACTAAGTTACTAAGTAATAGGGTACCTAAGTACCTTTGTTACGTCATCATAAAAAAATCATCTCTTCATACAATAGTAACGAAAATAGCTCAGCAAAGCTAACTCGACACAAATAGAACAGAGAGCTCAGCCTATCAAAAAAACGAACATAATTAAAAAAATAATAAACACGTATCTCTGAGGGCATTGTAAATTACTGACTACGAAATACCCGCAACATGGTAAGAGACAATATGGCTCGAATGTTTAATTAGCGCATTGCAGGCTCCACGGGGAGGGGGGACGAGGGAGGGGGTGAGGGTAAGGGGGTGCGGGAGGTGTTATTCATTAAAATGTTTGCGGAAACTCGTTTAGCGCCACTGCGGGAGGACGCGCCACCCGCCCGCCTTCTGCTAGGGCTGGTTAGCGCGGTAATTAGGTCCTTTAAGTTGTGCTTAGTTATAAAAAAGCAAATTCTTATATAAGTAAATTCTAATAATACTATGGTCACCTAATCTATTGACTTTGTTAACCCTACAACAATTATTATCAGTGTAAAAGTAATTCATTGTTGTTTTTAAACCTACGTCCAAAAAGAGAGGTGTTTCCAATTTTGTTATCTACATATATGTGTCTGTAAGTCTGTCTGCAGCACTGTAGCATCTGAACAAACGACTCGATTTGAGTGTGGTAATTTTATCGAAAGCCTTTTTCTTAGTCATATTTAATGAAGATCAGATCAGCCGTTTAAAAGTTACACGCACTTTAGACGAGGTTATGTAGCTTATAATAATCATTGTTTATATAGGAATTGACTAATTTAGTTATTCGCTGGCATCTATCATAAAGATCATTTTGATCTCGAGTGGGGCTATAAATAGATATATATTCGAATTCAATTTTGTTTTTGTCGAGTATAATTTTGTTTTTATTACTTATACTGTTACGTACTTAAAACATTTAAGATCTTATTAGAGATTAGATTAGTGACAGCCCTACTAGTCCCGGGTGCGACGGGCGGGAACGTTCATTTACTCCTCGTAATCGTTGCTTCCGCTATCTACAACCCACTTAGTAAACTTAATTTACCTACAAACAGCTTACTTAACATTAATCTGTATATCTTAGTAATCCACACATAATTGAAGCGGTATTTTCTATGTAGGGTTTGACACAGAGTGAAATAGTTGCAGTTTACCACAATGATAGACACGATAACTATTAACGATTTCTTACCGATACGACCTTCAAACCTTCAAAAAAAGAGCGTACTCCTTTTTAAAAGGCTGCACCTGTGGCTACTCTGGTGTTGTGGGTGTCCATGAGCGGCGCTGATCGCTTACCATCAGGTGATCCGTCTGCTCGTTTGCACCTATTCTATAAAAAATATATAATATTAACTCGTTGAGTACCGTCATTATAGACACAATTAAAGAACAATAGGTTGCGGTCACCGGTGTCCTCGCGGTGTTTGACAGTTTAAGGTAGTTGTCAAGGTATGAAAATTAAAAATCTAATTAGACCGCCAGTAACGCAATGAATAAATATTTGACACGTATTTTTTTGTTCTTGTATAAAGTTACAATACTTAGATAAAATTGACGGTTAAGTTTAGGAGTGGGAGGTCGTTACGTCACAAAGTGCTACAAAATGTTTTAAATTAATCTACCAGCCGGACACTAAAATAAAATTTAGGAAACCACCCTATTATTGTGTAGGTTCTAATAACTAAAGAAATGTATCACTGAGGTTAGTTATTGACATGTGTATGGAAATCAAATAAACAGGTAACACTTTTTCTAGGTAATAAAGTTACTTCTGGTTTATAAGGCTTTTTTTTAAGGGGGGAAAATCATCGAATGACTGCTCCCGCCTGGGTGAGGCGGGAGGGAGTCTCAGACTCTTACTGACTAAAAACCACCCCGTTCCTTCTCCTGCACCTCGAGCCGGAGCCCCGGTTACCCGTTAAGTTCTCCGCGACCTAGTTTATAAGGCTAAGGACTCACGGCGCGATTTTCTCCCGCGCCTGGCCCGGGCCCTCAGCCTTTGTAGAATACAGATAATGTATGAGGAAAATTAAAGCAATTTTCATTGTTCATCATCATCATCTCGGTCGCGATTGTTTGATTTTTTTAGGAGATAGGGAAGGCTAGTAAATTAATCAGAGTCGCCCATGGATTGCCGGATCACCAGAGGTGTAACCAGTAAGTTACAGTCCTTTTGGGGATTAGGAATTTGAGGATTTTTGGGGACTCAGGGGTTAGGGAGATTGGGGAGGGGGCGGGGTAATTAGATCTAATGATCTACTTAGACTTCACTAAAATATGTAAATCAACTTGGCTTTATTTAATTTTTATCCTGTTTATTCATAAAGTATGAACATAAATAACTACAATAATAATTACAACTTAAAATTAATAATATGACTAAACAAAAGAAAACTAAAAATAACTACATATTAGACATTAATACCGTAGAGTTGCGGAGAACCTAATTGGTTACCGAGGCTCCGGCTTGACGTGCAGGAGAAGGAACGGGGTGGTTTCAGTCAGTAAGAGTCTGACACTCCCTCCCGCCTCACCCAGACGGGAGCATTAATTCGATGATTTTCCACACTTCTACCAAAAAATATACCCTAGAGGCGTAGAACAATTTTGGTACCCTTACTCACAAGTTGTTTCACGTCGGTTTTCTGTGAGGCCGTGGTATCACTCCGTTTAAACCGGCCCATTCGTGCCGAAGTATGGCTCCCTCATACTTAAATATAAATTCAAACGAGTTCTTCTTAGGTTAGAGATATACCTAGTAAATGCTACGGGACACCAATAAAAAACCACAGTAACCTACAAATCCTACGACATAATCTTGCCAAGAAAGTGTCATGGTAGATAGGAATTATCATGGAATAGAAAAAATTAGGAAAAATTAAGAAAAAAACAAAATTCTTACCGTTTATATCCGGTGAGGGTTCTGTGACTTGAGATAAGATATTCATGTGCTTAAGAACTACGTCTTAAAACTGCTACCAACAGCTAAGAAATGGACTTTTTTTTAAGGGGGGAAAATCATCGAATTACTACTCCCGCCTGTGTCAGACTCTTACTGACTAAAAACCACTCCGTTCCTACTCCTGCACTTCGAGCCGGAGCCCCGGTAACCCGTTAGGTTCTCCGCGACGGGTAAGAAATGAACTGACAGTAGTGACAGTAACACCATATATTTCGATCGACCTAGGTAACACAGTCCGTCTGGCGAGCGTGGGGATTCTGCGACCATCATTAGAAACTAGGCTTCACTATGTGCAGCAGTCGATATGTTATGGAAGACGATGATGAGTTTAATATCCAATTTAACTTTACACACTTGCCTTTATAACTACCTACTAATTCATGGTCGATGTCTCACCTACAAACACGAAGCGCACACATCAAGCTTCCTTGTGCATACTAGTACTACTATAGAGTGGAGTTCTTTGCCAGAGTCTGTATTTCCTGAAGGGTCACTTGGGTGTCTTCAAGGCCTGAGTGAATAGGTTGCTTATGGGACGACGTGCCCCATCGTAGGCCACATCACTTACCACCAGGCGAAATAGTGGTCAAATGTCGCCCATCAAATATATAAAATAAAACATTTTGTAAGTATTCACTCCTGTTTTCTATTAGTTTTTGGAAAAGGAGAGTCATAGTCTGTATGCTTCACTATAGTCAATAACTAACTACTTTTAATTGTTTTTCTTTGATGTAACGTTGACCCACTAAATGTTATAATATACTAGCGACCCGCCCCGGCTTCGCACGGGTGCAATATGCATGTATTATAATTATAAACCTTACTTAAGAATCCCTATATCTATTAAAAAAACCGCATCAAAATCCATTGCGCAGTTTTAAAGATCTAAGCATACACAGGGACAGACAGACGGCGGATAACGACTTTGTTTTATACTATGTAATAATAGTAATAGAAATATATAAAAAATCACGTATGGCTTTAAGATCGTCCAACGTTTCCATCTAGGATTGGTAATAAAATTGGCCTGACCCATCTAACCTTCATCATTTGACTGCACGTTTGGTACGGTGGTCGATACGCTGGTCAACCGGCTACCGTGCAGCGTGTCGCGGTTTCGATTCTCATAGGGTACAACACTTTGTGCGATCCACAAATTGTTGTTTCGGGTCTAGGTGTGATGTGTATGTGACTTTGTATGTTTGTCAACGCACCCACGACATAGAAGAAAATTCTAGTGTGGGGCAACGATTTTTTTTTATATTCAATTATAATTTAGTAGTTGATTAAAATATTAATGACAAAAAGTTTTAATCTACATAGGTACTAAATCTTTAAATAGCCAAGTATTTATAGCAGTAATCAGCCAACTAATCAGCAGTTAAAAAGCTTTCGTTCACTGTATTAAATATTTCATTAACAGCTCCGCGGCAAAGGTGATAGCACTTATACACCATTTATATTTACAGATATGCTATAACTTAATCTACACCTATTAAATACAACCCCCATTACGCTCTCCTATTGGTTGCAATTTTCAACCCCTGCGTCCATCCGCCAATCGCGTGCGATCATTTTGTAGCGAGGGGTGGAGTCAGGGTGGTTTTCATGACGAGATTTTCGCGAAATCAAACAGTAGTGCTCGAGAGATCTCGGATGAGACTTCTTTGACTCATCTCAAGTGTAGTGTGGACGGCCGAAGACGAGAAGTTTGAAACTTTATATTTGTGCTATTTTTTTATTTAAATCAGTCTTATAATTTTGTTTAAGTTATTATGGACAATATAAAGAACACTCGAGTCATAGTGAGCGATTAAACGAATGGTATTTTGAAATAAAAAATGGGAAGGAGTGCCAACAATCAAGACTGCGTTTACACCATTCAAATCGGGAAGATGGGCTTTGACACTGTATCATAAAATTTACATTAACTTATGGAGAAAGAAGAACCATTGTAAATCACAGTGAAATTCTTAACTATAACTCATCTTAAGAAGAACACAGAAGAAACATTAGAAGACTTCAAGAGCACAAGGAAGACTCCGAATCAAAGATGGCTGGTCCTTACCTATCTCCTTTACCAGGGGATTTGCTAACGGAATACATGTTTGGAAGACGTCGTCAGCGACGGAACCGCACAACGTTCACACCGCAGCAGCTCAGCGAACTGGAGTCCTTGTTCCAGAAGACGCATTACCCTGACGTGTTCTTGCGGGAGGAGGTGGCGCTCAGGATCAGCCTGTCTGAAGCTAGAGTTCAAGTAGGTGCTTGATAGCTTTTATTGTAGTCATGAAATGAACAGTCGTTTGTGTTATTTCTGATCCGACACCAGCTTCCAAACAGGTAAATTTGTTAGGCTTTTTAATAGGCCGGCAATGTACTTCTGACTTTTTGGCAGTGTCTATGGATGGCTTATCATCAGGTGATCCGTTTGCTCGTTTGCCACGTCTCATAAAAAGAAATAGGTAGTTTTGTCCGTGGTTTTCCTGCCAAGAGTTAAGGCGCTTGTTTTCTGTATTTTGAAACAAATTGATTCTTAATTGGTAGAAGATTATTTAGACACGATACGATGTAGTCAGTGACTAACGGTGAAGGAAAACATCGAAAGGAAACCTGGGCTTATAATTTCTAATTATAAGTTTGTAATCGCCAACCCGCATTTAGCAAGCGTGGTGATAAATGTTCAAACCTTCTCCGTGTGAGAAGCGGCTTTGTTCAGCAGTGGGCATTTATAGGCAGTTGATGATGAAATTGATTCTTAGGATAAAAGTTAAATTTAGTTAAGTTTACAAATAATTATGTATGTAAAAGTATTTTTATAATTTACGCATTCTACTTTTCCCAAATTGTAAACTTAAATAGCACGGTGTTCAAAATTGACAGATTACATTGATAATAAATATGAACGTAAACTTGGATAACAATATGTTAATATTCAATAATAATAAAACAAGATAAATAATCTAAAGGAGGCTGTGTACTGTCACGGGCTATTGATAATAATAATAATGATTCCAGAGCCCGGTCGATGAGTCGAGTCTCCGCCTGCCATTTTTACGTGTAATAATTACACGTAAAAATGGCAGGCGGCAAATTAAAGATAGAAAGAAGAAGAAAGATAGTCCCCGATTATTATCGGGGACTATCTTTGGGTGCATTTCATAGTGCATGCAGAGATAGTAGGTAGTCGGTTTGTGTGTCCATTAGATGTCCTCGTACGCCTCCAAAATGACCGGGGTCCTATGGTCCCGTGAATAGTAAAAACTTACTATTATCATTATTATGTGTAGTATAAGTAATAATGATAATAATTATAGAAATGTTAAAAGACATGGGGGTCATTGGTGACCGACGTTAACTGAGGATTTTGTTTGAAAATTTTTCTATTGGCAGTCAAGTCAAAGGCTTACCTTGACTTCCAATTTGACTTCCAAAGTAAGCCTTTGACTTACAATACAAAACTGTTCTTACAATCATTTGTCCGACCCGAAAATTAACAATAATTGGGAAATGGCTTGGTGGTCTGCTGATACTCTTTAACAAATATAAGAGCTTAAGCGACTGGCAATAGAAACTTTGAACAAAATTTGTCTAGATATTGAAGTTTTTAATTGTAGTTTTAACATTTACACTTTCAGCTTATTTCTATACCTACTTTGGTTCCTACTCTAAACTACATTTATTCTAAACATACATACAGAATTTGCTGTTATGTACTTTGTAGTTAGTGGTGCTTATCTTAATATAAACTTATATTGAATATAGAAATCACTATATTCAATATAAGTATCACTCCGGTCGAGCCGGCCCACTCGTGCCGATGCATTGCTCTAGTACCTAAATCTAGGTACTTACTATGTATATTCTTTTAGAATTTTAACTTTCTTAAATCGAATACTGGATAGGTTGTGAGAATTGTGTCTCTAGGCACTGTTTCCAACTTTTCTATCCCAGTCCATTCTACTTTTTTCCAAAATTTATAAATTACACGACAACAGTAATGAAAAAATATTAAATAGATACTTTTTTATTTTATTGTTTAAAGCTACAATACTTAGATAAAATCGCATTAAGTTTAGGAGAGGGAGGTCTTTACGTCACAACGTGCTGTAAAATGTAGCACGCAGTGACGTCACACGATATTTCAAATTAATGTATATCGTCGAAAGTATTGAATTTTATGAGAAAAGAAAAAATACGTGTCTAATGCTTTAAAATAATTTTAGAAACTACCGTATTATTATCAACCATAACAAATCGGTCTAACAGTCGACTGATTTATAGGTATCTATGTGTCCTTTACATAGAGAGTCTTTTTAATGGGATACAGCGACAAACGAGCAAACAGTTTGTCTGAAAGAAAGAAAGAAAAATAGTTGCACACCGTCTCAAAATACAATAACACACAAAAAATTAAACAGCAAAGACGGCGCAAAAGGCCAGAGCTCGGCTTAAATGCCTTATGTCTGATGGTAAGTAATAAGCGCCTACCATGTTACGGACACCATTAGAGGCAACACTAGAGGAGTTACAAGTTTTTTTTGAGTTTAAGTTTGAGGAATTTAGTATTAGATCGCTGTTAAATAATTACATTGTTTCGGCAGGTGCCATATAGTCATCCATACTTCCCAATTTACCGGTCCACAGCAACCCCTCCATAACCCTATCTTTTTATCCCATTTTATACAATAGGATTATCCTTTGGTGCATTTCCATAGTTCATATAGGGATAGTCGTCGGTTTGTGTGTCCATTACATTTAGATTAAGACTTTGAATGCCAATAAAAAACTGTTGAATGTAAATCCTCCGCTAACGCCGGTCACCGGTGACCCCCATGGTGTTTAACATGTTAAAGTTGTCTAAAGGACGAATCGATGACGTTCATCAAAGTATTGATTAATTTATTTGATTACTTACCTACTAACCTTTGTGGAGCGTAAGGGGGAACGCAAAGGATTCCAAATTCAAAATGAACAAAGAACACAGCGGCAGGGGTTGCAGCTTTTTTGTTCTCACTTTAAAAAAGTTTTAAACATTCTCCGTTTTGGATTTTGATTCAAATTACTAGAAATATTGAAATGAGGCAGTTAAGTATTCAATACCTAACTGCCTCGTTGGCAGAGTGGTCGCAAAGGTGACTGCTGGGCAAGGGGTCTCGGGTTCAATTCCCGGGTCAGGCAAAGTATTATTGGGTTTTTAAAAAAATCTCAGTACCTAGTAGCTCTGGCACGTAGTCTGGAATTGTGCCCGGTACATAGCAATAGGCTCACCCCCTATGACATGGGACTCATAACATAATAGTGAAAAGTGGGTGTTACATTGTACAATGGCATAATGTGCACCTCTTCGGGGATAAAAGGCGTGATGTTATGTTATACATACATACAAACATAACTTCATGCCTGTCTCCCATGAGGGTAGGCAGAGACTAAGGAACGCCAATTACTACGATTCTTACATACTTATAATAAAGAAGGGTCAAATTAAAAGTACCCTTAACCGACGAGCATACATGAAAAGATTGATGACTGTTGATGATGCGAAAGAGGTATGTAGGAATCGTAGTAATAGTATGTTATGCCTATTCAATAAAGCACTAAATAATATAAAATTAAAAGATCGGCAAGACCAGCGTGGAGTTTCTTTCTCCCTTCATTGAATTACATCAGGGGTCAGTAGAACTCTCTGAATTACGCATCATGGTTAACTGGTGCCTATTTCAGTGCAGACTACTTGTGACATGTAGTCTACTACTGTATCTATTATTTCGTGTAGTACTTTATCTCTTGATTTGAGTGTAAAGAAGTACATTTTCGAGAATAGATTGGAGTTTATCAAATATTGAGTGAGTAGAGTAGAAATATGCATCGGTCCATGGGGGGAACGATGCATATCTTAATTTTATCGATCCCGTTAAAACTATGACAAGAACGAATAATGAAAAGTTTTACAATAAACAAAGGAAGGCCTCATATACTACGGTATTTTATATAACTGTATGTCGTTTAGAAGGTTCAACGACTTTTGAGTTTTCGAACTTTGCTAATAGACAGCGCACAGACGACGGAAAATCATTATAACAGTTTCATCTGTTTCACGAGAAACTATTATAATTTAAACTGTCAAACACCAAGCGGTCACCGGTGACCGCAACCTATTGTTCTTTAATTGTGTCTATAAATACGGTACTCGACGAGTTAATTAGATGTTATTATGTTTTTTTTATGGGATAATGTAAAAATGCTAAGCAAACGGCGCCGCCCATGGACACCTGTATGCCAGAGACGTTACAAGTGCGTTACCGGCCTTTTAGGAATTAGGAATTTGTGGAATGCTGGTGGATTGGGGGATTGGGGACACTGAGGAGGGGGGTAAATTGGACATCCATTAACCTCACTTACACGAAAAAACACAACATAAGCGTTGTTTCACGTCGGTTTTCTGGGAGGACGTGCGTGGTTACACTCCGGTCGAGCCAGCCCACTCGTGCCGAAGCATTGCTCTCCCACATTTAGATTTACTATGTATATTCTTTTAGAATTTTAACTTTCTAAAATATAATATTGTATTATTACGTTATATTTATTAGATAGCTTATTATTTTTTGTGCGACGGTTTTTAGTTTATACGGACCTAAGAATTACTAGAACTTTCGTCCATACGTCCTGCTAGGATGTCAACTGTAAACCAACATTGGGTGCTTACTGCTTGTTGACCTGGTAGCCCATGCTGCGTATTGAAGTGTCTTTATTATAATTTATTCAAGGTATGGTTTCAAAACCGACGTGCGAAGTGGCGTAAGCAAGCACGCCTGCAGCTGCTGCAAGATGCGTGGCGGATGAGGTGCCTCGGACTGGGATCGCCACCATTACCATTGTCAGGTGAAAATTTAATAATAATGTACCAGGTTCAGTTTTGGATTCAGTGATTGTATTAGTTGTCATTTTTTTGTTTATTTCGCCGTTAGCTGTGTACAAATTGCACAATATGCAGTTTGTATATTTTCAGGTGAAATAAGTTGATAAAATAAGTTAAAATTTTAAGTTTTGTATTCAACGATTGACGACGACGAGTGTCGACGTTGCTGTGTTATTAGTCAATTTTTTGTTTACATTCTGTATAATTACGTAGCTGCATACGAATCCTCGAAAAACTTACACTTGTCTGAATACCCTGAACTTTCATTTGCATTTCTCATACATTTTTGACACATTATCTCATACATTGGGACATTTTGGATCAAGATACAATCATACACCATCCTTCATTGTGTTGCGTATTATACGGCAAAATTTCAACATATCCTTATTACAGGTCACGGTAAACCCGACTCATCACCAGAAGCTTCCGAGTCACCCAACGATAAGGACTCTCCCGAGCCACCAGGAGTCAATGAGAACCGCGAGCTGAAGTCACCTCGTCAGGACCCATACCTTCATAACACAAATATGGAACAGCTCCAAGCAGTCAACCCAAACGTTCACGAGCTTCCACCGATGCCATATAATGAAGACGGGAGGATGTTGCAGCAACCGTTTACCTTTCCTCCAATGATGATGCCACAGCCAATAGAACCAGAAGTCCCAACGGACTTGAGGGTGATGTCGAAGCCTAGCCCTTGTCCTTGTGGAACCTCTGTAGATCAACCACAGAACCTCGCGTATCGTCAACAAAATCATGATAAGGACAGCGATAGTGACACAGATACAGAGATAGATCTTACATCTCACTCTAAAGATGACGATATACGGGAATCAGAGAGGCTGGCAAATAGAATTGCGACCAGCATCTTCCGAAGTGAAACAGTTCTAAATGAAATGATGCCTAATGATCTCAGTTTATCTACTAAGAGTAATGATAGGGTTAGAAGTAACGTCTCAATCTAATTGGGCGGCCATTTTGATTTACGTTTCGTAATAGCAGAATGTAGTTTTGTTGTAAGAAGTATTTAAATATTTAAACTTGTGTTAGTAGATCCGAATACCCAAACTTTAGTATCCGAAGTTTAGTTTAATGCCAGAACATTAGATATGGAATTAGTTTTAGTTTTTAAAAGGTGATCTGTTTCATATAATTGTGATTTTTGTTCTAGTCAATGGTTATACTAAGCTGTAATTTCGTTTGTAGGCAATATTTAAATTAGAACTCGTGTAAGTAGGTAATGTAAATGAACAATAATCAATACTAAGATGATCATTAAGTTATTTATCCAAGACTCGATATGTGAAGTTGACATGTTTTGAAGAGAATTGCATAATTTTCAGGAGAATAAAAATATTTAACTATTAAAAAATGGTTCGAGGAAAAATATGCGCAACAAGCGCAATTTAGATCATTGGGCCATTAAGAGCTCATTAAATTGCAAGAAATCTCCACTGAAAAGCTGAAAAACTTCACCAAAACACTAATTTAAAAACAGCTGTCAGTAGTGCTGAAAACAAATCATGACGATCATTATAGGAAGTTTTCTTTAAATAATAAACAGATTCTGTATACAGTAGGGTTTTTAATATAATATAAATTAAATTGTCATAGAACAAGTATAACTAAGTATTATGTAAATCTAATCATATGTATATTATCACAATAAATTCGGTATATTTCAGAATTTCTTGAACGTCTACATTTATTTATTTAATGAAATAAACATAAGTATTTAACAAATCCATTTGCAGTTATTCCTATCAATTGTGAATTTTATTCCATTGGTATAAGGAGGCCTTTAGATGCAAATATTTTTTTGTAAACCCAACTCCAAGGCTGCGTTTTTCATTTGTCATATTGTTAAGGACGTAGAGTTCAAAATGGGTTGAATGAACTGTAAATATGTCTTAACCGAATAAACTATATGTAGAATAAATCGAAACAAGCTAAATAAGGCGCTACTTATTGATAAAGAATCTTCTAGAAGAGCAGTGATCATACATAACCAGAATTCGTAAACAACTTCTTACACAGCCCTTAAAACTTACATAATCGTGTTTAAAGGTTTCACTTATCACTAAGTTTTACCCTATTAACAGCGTTATGAGAAACCTTTGCTATAGCTTCATTTTACGGCTTTTTCATTTAATATGTTTAAAAAAGTTCAGTAGAGGAAACAGGGGTTTATTGTGACACAGGTCGATTATTATGAAGGTAATGCCGGAATACTGAAACGTTACTTAATTTTAAGTCGTGATTAAATATCATGCCATCTCTGTCATTTTACAGAGAATTAGTGGTGACAGAACTATACTTAAGCGCGACTTAAAATTGAGTAGCGTTTCAGTAATCCGACATACGTTAACTAAATTGAAAATTGTTATACAAAATCTACAGATGTATAAATAAAACTCCAATAAATAAGTATCATCTTCACAACTAGCCCCTGTCTCCTCTAACATTATAATATATCTTATTAGAGGCGTTAGTACGAGTTTCTTTTACGTTTAAAGTAATCGACACGGCACCACATTCGGCGCTCAGAGTGCAAAGCACGAATAATTATCGCATTCGTAACGTAATAGTATCGAGCACGTTCGGCGGTCTGAGGCATTGGTACGAGTCTGTTTTAAGTTTAAAGTAATCGAAACGAGTACGCGTTCGGCGGTCTTATTGGCTGGTACATAAGCCGGCCAACAGAGTGCCAAGCACGGCGCTGCGTTCGGCGCTCTGATTGGCCGGCTCAAGTAAACCAACCAATCAGAACGCTTAACTCGCACGGTACTGTTACGATACGAATGCGTTAGTTATTCGTGCTTGGCCCTCAGGTTTAAAAAGCCTCAGTCGTGCAGTAAACAAGAATTTCGATTGTCAGAAATCACTAGTTTCTATTTTTAATATTTAAAGGCTAGTTCCAATACGATACTTATCGGTAGGTTTTCCTACCAAAGAAACATCAAGTTAATCGAGCAGCCAAATCTTGAAGATAAATAAGGTGAGGTAATTTTATCAAAAGAACTGCTTCAAAAAGTCAACACATCATTATATTATCACAATTGGTCTTTATTTTACTTAAGTAGTTTTAGGATTGTGTAATAAAATCGTGAGTTCTTAAACTGAATCTCATTATAAGATATTCAATTTTGTGTTCTTTGATACACTTAACAGACGTTTTTTCTACACTTTTTTTAATTACATTCGTTAAAGGTCGTATCTAGTAGATAAATGCAGATACATCAAAACGCCGAATTTGACATGTATTTATTTCTGAATATATTTTGTAAGGTAGGTAGGTATAATACGGGAGCTCCGGAGCAAGGTATCTTTCAGAGGACCCGGTGCCCCTTACCAGTGCTGAAGGTGACCACGGGCGTGGTTTCTCCCCAAAACGCTAGACGCCTTTTGAATAATAAACCATCTACTTATATAGCACCATTTCTTTCACATTTATGCTTTGTTATATGTCTTTTATAACATTATATATAAATAATAGAACACATATTGCTTTACATATTACCTTATATACCTATTTGCATTATATTTTGCTACCACATATAATATATATAGTTGTTTAAATCCATATAGGGGAAGAATTTCATGGATAGGATAATTGTCTATGCACAGTAACTTAACAGGATGGCATAAAACGTTTGTATTATCAGCATCGATTAATCACTACATAGTATAAAACGAAGTCGCTATCTGCCGTCTGTCTGTGTCTATGTATGCTTAGATCTTTAAAACTACGCAACGGAATTTGATGCGGTTTTTTAATAGATAGAGTGATTCTTAAGGAAGGTTTATTTCATATGTATAATATACATGCATATTGCACCCGTGCGAAGTTAGACGGGTCGCTAGTTTTTTATAGTTTAATTTTAAGTACACTTACATTTAAAAATAACAATATAACAATTACGTAATTTAGTGAGAGCCCTTGTTGTAATTATATTTGGATTAATGACTAAACTCAGCCTAGATACAGTTATAGGCTTCTTCATAATAAGTTCTAAGTTTATAATAAAGTTCTTAAAGCACTTTATACTGCCTTACTTTATGAAGTTCTTAAAGAACTTTATATTTTACACTTTTCAGTGATTAGGAATATACAACTTTAAGGGTTCTATTTATTCATCGAGATCGATTTACTCTCCTTACCAAAGACATTGGTCACTTTTGCCATAAAAAAGGAAAATACATATTATCCTCCTAACATAAGCTAGCTAAGTTAACTTAAGGTATTTCTTCCATCACACAGAATCTATACATATAAATTTGAATCATCTCAAAGGAGAATTGTGTCAGAGGTAAGGAAATCCTTCAGCAGTTTGTGTAGCAGGATCAGAAGATCAGAAGCACCTGGAGTCGTGTTGTGAGCACCATGCCGGGGAGATGGCGTCAGCGCGCAGGCCGCGTTTGATGAGCCGCGTGCGCTGTCTCTGCATGCGAGCTTCAGCCGATAGCACATCTGCTGTTGGGTCCGACCACAACCTCTCCGCTACTGCCGCCGCGCGAGGCCACACGCGCGTGTCTGGACATACAAATATTGTGTTAGGAAACCACAGCTTTATATCATCATCATATTAAAACTAAAATAGCTTAACACATTCGGCAATTTATGACTAGTTAACATCAGCTTTCTGCTGTTACGTTGGACCCCATTTTATGAAAATTAAATTCAGTTAATGCTACGTCACACACAGTGCCGGGGTGTCAGTGGCCCTTACGCCGGCACTGGTCACACATCGCTTGTAGAAGTAGACGTTATGGTTAAAAACTACATAAAAAAACTTCACAGACTTCAAACTATATCGTCCCAAAAATGTATTGAATACCCAATGATTACCTACCTAAGTAAGGACAGTTGGGTTCGGTACTACAACTCTGTACATGTGTGTGTTCATAACAGATTTAATATTATCCTATCGATATATACAAGACAGTCGATAAAAAATATCGTAGGTGAACATAACGCTTCCTTTTAACCTACATTTTTTATTGAACTACTACGTATACCTAATCTAAGTTTTTCTAGTTTAGACAAACAAACGCGATAAAAATAACTTTGTTTTACTAACTATTATTAATTATTGCGATGATCGATCGTCTGATCTCTATAACAGGCGGGCTGCTGTTTTATAATGTTTTACACAGATGATGTCATTCGTTCGTCCTACGCACTTTATACCATACGAAAAAATTTGAATTAGTTTTAAAGGTCTCAGCATTTAAGACTTCCAACAATGTTTAACGCTTCATAGACAATTATATACCACCACTTCTGCCACTGCCTATGCTGTTACCGACAGGTAACGCATCAATTCAAGTGTGGGAGAGCCATGCTTCGGCACGAATTGGCCGGCTCGACCGGAGTGATACCACGGCCTCACAGAAAACCGATGTGAAACAACGCTTGCGTTCTGTTTCGTCGTGTGAGTGAGGTTACCGGAGGCCCAATTACCCCCCTCCCCAGTCTCCTAATTCTCGAACCCTCCACAATCCTCAAATTTCCAATTCCGCCTTAACGCCTCGGTGTTTCAGTAGTCCATGGGTGGCGCCGATTGCTTACCATCAGGTGATCCGTCTGAACGTTTACTGGTTGGTCCCATAAAAAAAAATTTCACCCGCTTTTTGACACTTCGCTATTGATGGCGTGATGGTTAATGGTCTGCCTCAATAAATGAACTACTCAATTTAGTGCAGTAGTTAAAAAAACCTCGTCAGCCTTATAATACTAAACAAGCATACTCTTATACCAGATACATACCTAAGGCTTGCTCATCCAAATATTCGGTCCACATGGCCACCTCTCCTCCTAGCATATTGTCATCCTTGGGCAACATGTGGGCATACATCTTCCTCCAATTACTATATTTGGTGTTTCCCCAGAAACCATGGTCTAAGTACCAAATATCCTTGGGGACTGAGACGGTTTGGTATCCCATCCCCAGCAGTTTGAGTAGCAGTTGGCTGCCTACTGGCTCCCATACTTCGACAATATACCTGTAACACATTATCAGACTCTAAAAATATGAAACAATATTTATGTAGATGAAGCTGCGTAGTGTGTACAACTTCACATCGTATCATCACGGCTTTCTTCACCCCAAAGAGGTTGGCAGAGGAGCACATCATGACACTTAATGCCACTGTACCATGTAATACCCACTTTGCACAATTTTATGTTATGGATCTCATGTAATAGGGGGTGAGCCTATTGCCATATACCGGGCACAACTCCAGACTTCATGCTACCACTGGAATCGAACCCGACACCCCTTGCACGGCAGTCGCACTTGCGATCACTCGGCCAACGAGGCAGTCAACTGTACAACTTCAATTTTTGTCAAACCCATTTCAGGCTACCGCGATGGTAGATTCATTTAAAAGTTATTGTTTTAGTTTTAGTGTAGTAGTTAAAAAAATTAATAACTTCGTCCGACTTCCACGATGTTTCGTGGCATAGGGTGTTCCTATGAACTCATATTCACCCCGATCTGACAATTTTTTCGCGAATTTGAAAATCTATAATATTAGCTGTAGCATACCATTGATGACTTCTATATCTTCTACTTTAAATTCTAACTAAAGTACCTTTCTTTGTTCAGATGAGTGTTGATCCACTGCGGCTGTGTCAGGTCGGAAGACCAGATCATGACGGGCTGCTTTGGTGTTCCCGCTGCTTCCATCACCTCGTCCCAAGCAGCCAACGCCTTCTCATGGAACTCTGCCCATAATTTCAAGAAACCATCCGATGTTGGATCATAGTTCTTGTTTCTCATGTAATTGATGATCTCTTCGGTCCGATTCCAGCATTCAATGTAGACCTTGTGAAATATAATGTTCGTTATCAATTGTCTTTTAACCTTTAACTATTAATATTAGTGTATAAAAGAGATAGTTAGGAGCAACTTGACTTTATTCATTATCTCAATGTGGGTAAATCCTAACTTCGTTATCATCATAACATCACGGCTGCCGAAGGCCGTAGGCCGAGGTGCACATTACGGCACTTAATGCCACTGTATAATGTAACACCCATTTTTCACTGTTTATGTTATGAGTCCCATATGACAGGGGTGAGCCTATTGCCACATACTGGGCACAATTCCAGACTCCGTGTTGCTACTGAGATTTTTTTTAAATCCCAGTAATACTTTGCCCGACCTGGGAATCGAACCCGATAGCCCTTGCCAAGCAGTCGCACTTGCGACCACTCAGTCAACGAGGCAGTCCTGACTTCGGGAGTGAATTAATAGACAATATCGGTAGGTTGTTGATGATTCATCTGAATCAAGAACTCACCTCATCTCCTCCTACGTGAAGTAGAGCAGGTGTTGGTAAAGCATCAGCGATGTCCCGGTAGAGGTCGCCTAGCACGCGGTACACCTCAGGGTTGGCAGGATTCAACTGTCCACAGGGAGGCTCCACACATATCCCTCGCCACGGCCATTGGTTTACACAGACTGCAAGATGACCCAAGCCATATTCCTGAAAGTGCGTCAAAAGAATAGGGTAGTATACTAAATTTTATTTTAATGTCCGTCTTCGGTAGATTATTTAAAAACCTTAGGCGCGCACATTTTTTCTTTTCTTACAAAATTAACACTTTCGTCGATATATTGACGACGATGATTTGAAATATCGGGTGGCGTCATGTTTTAGTACATTTTATAGTACTCCTAAACAAAGTTCCATTTTATCTAAGTAAGTATTGTTTTCTTATACGACAAAATAAAAAAATATGTGTCTAATATATTTTCAATATCTAACTGACGGATTAATTACATTTTTAACTTTCACACACTGTCTACTACCCTATTGTATATAATTCAATTTTTATTGTAAGCTCTTTTGTAATTGAGCTGTTGGATGAATGTTTAAAAGAACATGGAGCCAAATTTAAAAATCGAATCATATTATCTTAAATAACTCAAAATTCTACATCAGTTAGAAAGTAAAACCCGGTGACAACAAAAACATCAAGGCTGAATAATGAGCCAGTATTTATCGTTTACAGTTTTTTAGTAGATACATTGTACTTACAGGTCCCCATTGCCAACCATTGCCAGCATGTGCGGGCGAGTCGATTTCGATGACGACGCGAATGCCTCGTACTTGGGCATATTGGATCAGCTCCCGAACCTCTTCCGCAGAATAGATTTCCTCCGAAGAATAGGCTCCGTATCTGAGATAGGCATATTTTTTTTAGGGGTAAAAATCAACGAATTACTTCTCCCGCCTGGGTGGGAGGGAGCGATTGTCAGACTCTTACTGACTAAAAACCACCCCGTTCCTTCTCCTGCACTTCGAGCCGGAGCCAAGGTAACCCGCGACTTAGGTTCTCCGCGACTCCGAATCGGTATCAGCCCTATTGGGCTATAATATAAAATAAGCATAATAAAAGCAAGTCAACATCAAGACAAATAGGGTGTATGTAACCAATGCTTTTTTTGTCGGTATGTGATAGTTGGTGACCCGCAACAAAAGATACCTACTGCCACATTACCCTACACAACACACAACTAAAATCCTCTGTTTCGACGATAAAGAAGAAGATACGACAATAAACGGTTGGTTTATATACTTGTAAGTAGTTGTATTTAGATACTAGAGGTACACAGCACAACTCTGGAAAATTAGAGTATCTTGAAAGCTTTACCTGGTAAACTGTGGCACTCTAGTAGACTCAAGAGGAAAGCTATGCGAGTCGGTGACATGCCAGTGGAACACGTTCATTTTATTGGCTGCCATGCCATCCATGGTCTTCTTCAAATTGTCCATGGGTATGAAATGTCTACTGCTGTCAATTAGGAGTCCTCTGTATTTGTATGCTGGACGATCTCGGACTTTAGCACCAGAGACGAGTAGGAGGCTGCAAGTTTGATCGTCTGCGAAGTCTGGTTTGCTGGATGCTACTAATTGTGTGAACGTTTCCAGCGCATGGCGAGCTCCGTATACTGTTTCAGCAGTTATGCGCACTGATACCTGCCCCTCTGAAGGAAGAACATTGTTTGTTTTAATAATTAAACCTTATAATATCTCTACATGCTCAGTTCTATAAGGAATTGTTACCATGAATAAAATCATAGAAAAAAGCCAACCTTTATTATTATACTGGACATCTAGCATGTATTCCTCATTGGTGTTCAGGGTTAAAGACTTGTCAGCACTCCTCACGGTCAGGTAGACCACCACAGGCGTTTCAACAACCTCAGTCACGGTACCATCACATTCTGCCACCAAATTGGGGCCAACCAGCTTTGTCATATCCGCCATAAGAGATACAACTGGTGCGGGAACATTTTGCAAATCGAATCTGGAAAAAGTAAAATAAATGATGAGCTTCAAGGGTATAGCTACTTCATTATTGATGGTCACAAATTCTAGACCATTAGGTTCTCTTAAACAATAATCTCCAACCAGGTACCATCATTCATGTGGTCTTAGGACATTCCGTTCTAATTGAAGTACCTATGCTTCTTGTCTCTTTGTTCCTACTTTTAAACTAGCGGATTATCTAAAGGCGTTGATTTTATTTTCGATCATTATTATTATGGTTATAGGGTACTTATTATTTATTGTTTTCTAGGTTTTATTATTCATTACAGATTTTTTTAAACGCTGTGTATTGTCTGTTGGTTGGCTCATTAAAAGATAATAATGGGTACCTAAAGTTGCAAGCAGGAAACAGTCCTATTGTTACGATTTGCGAGGAGAATTGATTTATTTTGCCAAAAGGAAATAGTTCAATTGCTATATCATTTCCGATGATTGGCGTTGTCGTTTGTTGATTGAGAGTAGGTACTCCCACTGTACCTATTGTTTTTTTCTATGTTTTACAAGCTCCAACCACCAACCACTAAACTGAGAATTTTAAAATTCAATATACCGTTTTTCTGTGTACACCTACTTCATTTACGACCACATCATCAACATGGCAAGATAAGAGCAATATTAGTTTTGATAAAAATAATGAAACTTTATGTAGGTACTGACATTAATACCAGCATCCATCTACACACATCTTCATTGCATTTTCGACTTTGTCTCAAAACAAAAAAGTTTATAATCTCTTCAGCAAAAAGTTTAGATGTGAGTAGCTTGATCTGCTGCTGTCTACTCAGCAAACATTTCGTTCATGGTTGTCAAATTTGACGCGACGTGTAAGGTCGTAGGTCAAGTAACCGTTATAGTAAGAGATAGGTTATTCAACCCTATTGGAGCCCAGGCGTTGAACTTTAGTTAGCATTGTGGTGCTAATCAACGTCACATGGAGACTGTAAGAGTATGATTTCTTGCTAAGTGTGTTACAAAATGTTATTTTACTACCATGGTCCATTGTTTGTCTAATATCTTTGGAATTAGTCCAGGTAGGCTGAAGTTGTATACCTCATATGAAAGCTTAAGAAATGTAGATGTTTTCTGTAAAAAGTACCCAACATGCACCATTTTTTATGTTACAGAAGCACATTTTCTGAGACCAACTAGTAAAAATTTCCAATATTCTATGAATTTGGGATCACTGTGTCTAAAACAATATTATTATTGTGTATTTGATGATTAGAAGTGGTAAATTAACCAATAAAGTAAAATAATTAAAAAAAATTTGGTCAAGCAAGGGCGTTTCTTTTTTGTTGTTTTTTTTTTCATTTTTAGAGTTACCGCGAAAATAACCGTCCATTTCCTCCTATTTGTTCGACAAAATTGTTGGAAATGATCATTTCTATAACCCCATATGAGATTATGGTCAAATTACAAATCACCCTGTATACTTAGGGATATAGTTATGGCATGAAGATATTATTAAAAAAAGTTTATTAAAACAATATTTGTTTGTAACGACTTCAAATAAAAATTAAATGGACATTCTCAATTTCACTGTGTTTTTTTAAGTATTTTTTCACTTAAACCCGTTACCTTTTCCTTAACGATGTAGGTATTAGTATTATTTATTCACTTAAATGCAAAACAAATATTAGCTAAAGTCATTAAAGAGTATAAGTTCATTGACCCCTAGTCGGTGACCCTGAATTAACTTATTATAACACCAAATGATATTATTATTATTATGCAAGTATGTATAATAATAATGTATGTCATACATTTTACCAAGTCGACTTCTGAAGAGAATTTATGCATATAACCTGTTTACAATCGTCTTCCTTGATTAAATTTGAATAATCTGATTAAATAATAATGAATACTTAAGTTTTGTTGATTCAGAAAATTAATAGAAACAATTTTAATTTAAAAAAATCTACAAGTAAGGAAAGAAATTGCAAAGAGTGAATGATAATTTATTTTATTTTTAACGGCCTGAATGAGGCAATGAGCCATTCAATTAAATAGGCATTAACCAATACGGAGCCGCAGAAGACTTAAGAGAAGGAAAGACAGGAAGAAACGGGGTGGATTTTAGTCAGTAAGAGTCTGACACTCCCTCTCGCCCTGACCTGGGCGGGAGAAGAAGAAGACATTGGAGGATTTTCCCACCTCAAAATAAAAGGCATTAACCAAACGTTCAGGCGTCACTAGTTTAAAGGGATAATTAAGCTTAAACCTAATTACATGTAAATACATACATAACTTTACGCCTGTCTCCCATGGGGTAGGCAGAGACTATGATAGAAAGCCAATTACTACGATCACTGTATATAGTTTTTATAAGTATGGAAACTATATTATGGAAACTAATTAGTGCTATAATACGTAATACAGTTGCAACATAATATAAATTCGAAATATATATATACAATAATACATTGATATAGTGTAAATAGGAAGGGTTAACGAAAATAAATCGTTTCATCTGCTGGGTGCCATCCAAGTGTTTGACAGAGTGCGTGCTATAAATAACAGGGAACCACTTCTAGACATTATTTACACAACGAAGCTAAATAAAATGTAGCTTGAATGGCTAAATTTATAAATGTTTTATATGTGTATAATAAAGTTGTATCCTGTTTCCGTTTGTTTAAAAGTTGTTAGTGCAACTGTTGAGTTTGTGGTCTTAGTTCGATACTCGGACAAGGGCCAAAGCGTTTCTGGAATATTGAACTATGTTTTTATCATCTATCTAACTAAAAGGTGCGTGATTCTGCTGCAAGACTTACTTATAGAAATATTTAAAACACGAAAAATGTTGATGCTATATGTTTAGTTCTTAACAGGTCCATCTGTATGTGGAAAGTGAATAGTAACTTCCCGTTACTAAGTACTAAAGTGTTGAGCAAATATTTCTCATCTTACCAGTGGTGTCACTACAGATTGGCAAGTCAGCAAAATGCCAGGGCCAACTGGAAGGTGCCAGCTCAGAGGTTTGTATATGAACTTCTCTGTTTCCTATTGGGAATGGTGGCCCATCCGATGAGTTTGCCACGGGCCCCAAACTGTTGATATAGTTACGCCACTGCATGTTACTACTACATACACCTAGCATTTGATCATTGAATAATCTGGTCCGATTGCCCACAAACTGTTAAAATTTCTGTAGTATATTTGATCATTATATAGTCCGGTGTCCGGTCAGATAGCCAACTAGTTCCATTCCAGAATTCGCCAATTCACGACCTACTCAGGTGGCTATTAAATAGCCGTATTGTCCAGTTTATGCTTGAAGTGGTAATGCAGCAATAGTCTATAGACCATTTCAGTAAGTAGTAAATGTTCCTAGATGTGTTCCTACCCACGTGTAGTTATTTCATTTAACCTATTTCGCTCCAATAATCTCCGCTGTACGGTTATCTAATGTAAAAGGATATGAATCCTTCTCATGGTCTATTTGTATGATAAGTTTTATTAAAATCAGTTTAGTAGTTTTAGCGCTATTGATGAATTGAGAGCTAAAAGAACACTTCAAAAGTAAATAAGTACTAACCGATTTACATTTTAACCTGTTTAATTGTATAAGAAGTTGTTTATGTTCAACATTAGATATGATATCCATCTTTAACTAGATAAATAATATTGCAAAACTAACATATATTTTACGTATGTTGAAATAAGAACATAAAGTAAATCAATTATATACATGATTTTATCATTTATTTACCGTTTTCCACAATAAGTGACAAGGCGTAACGATAATAAATCGTGCAAGTAAAGTTTATTGTAGTTCACCTTTGCTAAAAAGCGATTTCTCATCTACGTATAGTATCCACATACAAATGCATTGTAGATAAATAAGTACATACATAATGTAAAACGATAATATATACAGTACAACAAGACCTCTAAAAATGTATATAAAAACCATCAATGCTGCATCACAATAGGAGATGAAGTTCCCACGAATGTATATAGCCACAATTCTACATAATCACATAATGACAACAAATATAATTATAGTTCCACAAGATATTTATGAAGGTTACTTGTTACTGTGTTATTGTCATTGTATCGACATTCTTTGGTACCTATTAGTTTTTTATGTTTATGTAATTCAAATTCAAATTCAAATTCTTTTAATGCATATCATGTGTACAATTGGTGTTACATGAGGTACAGTATCAACATGAAACCCGGCTAGGGCACGGCAACATATGAAGCAAAATATAATCTAATTGAACTACTATCAATACTTATTATATTATAACATAAGAAATGTTGTTTTCAACATTAACATATTTTCTTTATTTTATTATACCTCTAATATGTATTTACATAAATTTCTTAATAAAGTGTAGGTATTATTGTATGTAGTATATGTATATTATTATGAAGTATATGTACATATAATGTAGGTACTGACAAGTGGAGTCGCTAGCATTGTCGGGATAGAAAGAAGCATAAAGTTACAGGGTGTAACCGGAACAATCCCAAAAAGTAATCCCAATAAATTACTTTAATGAAAATAAAATAAGGTTTATTTTCATTAAAGTAATTTATTTTATGTAATAATAGTTGTAATCAACTGCTCAATGCTGAATAAACTAATAAAATTGTAAAAATAATTTCTTTTTGCTAGCGGGAGCGGTAGGTGAGGCTGGAGGTGTCAGACTCTTACTAACATGTTAATAGGAAAGGATTCCTCGGTCTAAAATCTATGACTTTCTAAAATCTATTCAACTAGCTAAAAATAATTCTTAGTAAGTAGGTACACCTATCAATTATACGTACTCTGATTTTAAATTTAGTTTTCCTACTTTTCTAGCTAATTTTATACAAGAAACGTAGTATGCTTGTTGACGCAAAAATCTATGACGTCGCAGTTGAGTGATCCCATTCACGACTAATTGAAAAACATGTTACTGATTTTGATATCATAAAAAAACCGAAACCATCTACTACGTCAGAGATCAAACTCCAAACACCGAT